GAACTGTAGAAGGAAGCTGGAATTAACTGGATCCCATTTTAGTTTAGGAATTTAATTAAGGTTAGTGTATTTGCAGGTTTATGTCGATTAATGAAACAAACCAGCAATAGTTGTCAGATTTGTATAATTTTGGTGTTTTTCATAAATAGCAGAAACTTTACTGTGTTGATTCTGATGTAAGAAATATGTCAACTTTGCTGTTCTTTGTTATATCTCACAATTTGTGTGTTCTTCTCTGGCAGATACATTTGAAGATGATAATTGTTTCACTTCTGGAAAGGATGACCTTGATTTTGCTAGGTAAAATACTTTCCTTCAGTCTTTTTTATTTACTGTTTTCCCAGCATTTCCCAAATTATTGTCCCTCAGAACAGTAGAGCACAGGGCTACATGATGTATAAAAGAAAAGTATTGAATAAGTTTGGGAACTGGATACAGTACTTTAATTCTGCACCTTTATAATGCACATTAGTATATTAAATAAAGGCTCTGAGCCCTCTGTAACTCTCCTTTTAAATCTGCTAATAACCTAATAAATATCCTGGTAGTTACCAAATCACATTTTTGAAAACAGTAGTCCTTTGTGTTACAAGTTGTTGTTTTTCTTCAGCAACATGAAAAAGAAAAAAAAAGGAGCTAAGGGTGACCCAGAAGATGAAGATTCAGAAGATAGTGATGATGACCTTGATAACTTGGATGATGATGAAGTTTCTTTAGGAAGTATGAATGAAGAATTTACTGAAATTGATGAAGATGGAGGAACATTCATGGATGTGTTGGATGATGAAAGTGAGGGCATTCAGGGTAAGCATTTTTTAAATATTAGACAGAAGCTGTATCTTCCTTTCTTCAGCGCAGGATAGTTTTTCTGTTGAAGGTTTTTTAATGTTACGTTTATTCAAATTAATACTCAAAATAAGCCAGTAATTTAAACAGGACCTTTCCCCCTCTCATTTGAAACTGAAGGGTAGGCTGTCTGCAATACGTGTTGAGGTGTGATGTTGCCTTTTTTCAATGTTAGAATAATTAGCAGTTTCTAAAAGTTAATATTCATCATAACCCTATAGCAATCCTATTGTTTTTTAAATTACTTAATAGCCCCTTTTTTTTGTAACAGAACTTAATGATGAAGTCAGCTCCAAAGTCAATTCTAAGAGAAGCAAGAGGAAAGGTGCAAATGATTTTGACTTTGCTGGATCATTTCAAGGTAAGAAAATGTAATTAGTCTCTGAAACCTAAGCATTGTGCATGTGCAAGTTATTATTCATTATTATTTTGGAACATGAACTTCTGAATTAGTACAATTTAGTGTGTTTTTATAATGGATGATAACAGTTTTATGTATATATAATATGTGAAAATTGTTATTTCCTACATACACTTTTAATTATTTTCTCTTCCTAAATTCTTTCCTCTCACACCTAAATATCTCTAGATCACTTTTTCATTTATGTTTAAACCAGTCAATTTATATGTAAGCCCTGGATTTTCCAGACACCAATTGCTTTTTTCCTTTTCCCAACCAACTCTTATTCTTTGCCATTTGACCTTCTGAAAATCCATGCTCTTCAACAACTTCATTTTCCTTTTTTTTTGAGATCTGCCATGACAAAATTATTCTAACCTCAAAAATATATAAAACAGATAGGAATTCTTCTTTCTGCTAATTCTTTAACATTTTTTTTAAAGTATATCATAACAGATTATCCTTTTAGTGTAACACTTGTAAGGTGCTAATAAAAGAAAAAAAGTACTTTTATAAGGTGACAACTTAAGCTTTTGATAAAAATCTAGAGAGCACTACAATAAATATTTTATTCCATAATTCTGTGGATAAATTCATAAAGTTGCTTTTCCCCCATGCTTTGCCTCTAGTTTCTGCTTATTAGTAAATACTGATGAGTAAAAATAGATTTGCAAAGTTAAAAATAATTAAAATGCTTGACAATATTTTATTACAATTAAATATTTTTAAATGTTGACATTAAATATTTTCGACAATATTAAAATAATAATTATATATTATTGGTAGTAGCCTCTCAAAGACTTATACCTAAAAAAATTGTATCAGCTCTTTCAAATACTGCTAACGTAAATCCTCTTAATTAGATTGATATACTTGGTACATATTTAAATTATAACATGTTATCTTCCAGATTTTGTCTTCCATTGAGTGATGTAAGGTCACAATTTAATAGCATATGCTCAAATATGAGGCAAAGTTTTCCTCAGAATCATCTCTCAGAAAGAAATGTTGCTTTATCTCAAGTCCTGCTGAACCTGTCATATTAAAAGATGCTCTCTCAGAAACCTTACCTAGATTAATAAAGCACTATTTCGGAAGACAATAGCCTGAAAGGATCTCACATCTCAATCAATAATAGTTTTGGATGCAGATTAAAGGGTACCTGACAGAGTTGATTAAGATAAAAGGAGACAAAGGAATTTCAAACAGATTGCTTGATTGATCCTGAGGGGTTTCACCCTCCATTTGCAAATGTTGGATATCCTTAAGGATAAACAAACTTTAAGGAAACTTAGAAGGCAGTACAACAGAAGTGCTTACTAATTGAAGTTATAGAGACATACCTATAGGATAAATAAAAACTAAAAAAACCTTCCTTAATGCTATACAAATGGGCATTTTAACTTAAAATATTCAATAATAGCATTCTACACACTTCTTAAATTATATAATATACATTTCACCTTGATATGCTGTAGAATCTATTTTATCAAAAGCAGCTCTGGTATATTCATGCAAAGATTCGTACACAATTGTTTGTAGCAGCATTATTCTTAATAGCCAAAAAGTGGGAACACCCAAATATCCATTGACTGAGGAATGGATAAGCAAATTATGGTATACCTATATAATGGAATGTTATTCAGCAATAAAATGGAGTGAAGTGCTGACACATGATGTAATGTGATGAGCCTCAAAAATGTTATACTTAGTGAAAGCCAAACATAGAGAACCACCTATCATGTGATTCCATTTATATAAAATAACCAAAAAAGGCAAAGCCTTGGCAGGAGGCATGTGACTACAAATGGGCACCAGGGATCTTTTGGAGTTGATGGAAATGTTCTAAAAATTGTATTGTGATCACAGTTGAACAACTCCGTAAATTTACTAAATTTACTAAAATTGACTAAATTTACTAAAACATACTGATTATACACTTTAAAAAGCTGAAATTTATGACAAATTTTATTCCTTAGTAAAGCTGTTTTTAAAAAAAGTGGCTCTAGTAGTGCCAGAGACATTGATGTCAAAGATGCGAAGAGTTTGGATAATATTGTTTGAGGAAATGGATAAAAGTAATATTTCTATTGTAGTTCATATATGTTTACACAATGGGATTTTCAATGTGTGAATTAAAATTTAATATTAAAAAGATGTTTTACTATTACCTATTTTGAAAAATTTATATATTCAGAATTATAGGTGAGGCTTTTTTTTTTTTAAGGACAACCACTTTACTTTGAGTAGTTAAACAAAGCTTTATTTTAACATTAAACATACCGTCCATCAATTTCTTGACAGTTACTCCAAAGAACAAAACCTCTGGCTTAATTAGAATTTATTTTTTGCCTTAAATATTCCAAAACCATCCATGTCAACTTTGGAATTTTAATCTTGCCTGATACTATGAAATAGGGTAATCCTTGATCAGTGGCCAAATCTGAAAGGCAAGAAGACATTGTCATCTGAACAGTTCTATTAGGGTACTTTTTAAGAAAAGTACAGACAAACTCTTTAAGTAAATTATATTTGTCTTTAAATGCCTTCTAACTACCTAATGGTGCTAGAAGATAACTGCAATTGTGTATTTTAACCCAATATAATTTTATAGTCTTTTTTAACAACCATATTGAAAGATTTCTATTTTTCCAAAAATCATTGGATTTACAATTTAATAATCTAAGCTTATACCTTTCTTAGGACCCAGAAAAAAGAAGAAAAGAGATCTCAATGACTCCAACCTATTTGTATCTGCTGAAGAGGTAAGGCTAATGTACTGCTTTAAAACGTTAGCTATTCAATATTATTTTAAGTTTTCTAATAAATGTTTCCCCCCATTTTTGTTTTTAAGATCGGTCACCTATTGGATGAAAATATGGGATCCAAGTTTGATAACATTGGCATGAATGCCATGGCCAACAAAGATAATGCAAGTGAGTAACTTGAATTCTTTACTGAGGTGTTTAAATAACTATAACTTAGAACTTCTGAAGATTTAAGTATTTTTGGAGGAACTTTTTTATAGTAAGAATGGGTAAACTGGTTCCTTATAACCCAGAAGGAATGGGAGCATGTAGAATAAAAAAGTATTTAGACTACAGCCTACAGAAGTTCCTTTCATTTTTTTTTTTTTTTTTTAGGGAGGCAGGCTATTCTTTATATAGTATGAGTTTGCTAAGTAATTTTATAAATGCTTTATGTACATTTTAATTATTTCTGAAATTGATAATTACTGCTTCTGTTCTTTCACCAGTAAAAGTGTTCATGGGAAATAAAATCTTTGGAGCATGTGTTCCTTTCCTGCCCATGTCTTTTATTTTTAAAACGGTAATTTTGACAATAAATATAGAAAAATATAACAAACAAGCAGGGAATTTGCATAGTGAATGGGAAACAACTACTAATGACAGACCAGAAGTTCCTGTTAACTCAATAGGATGTTCTGTGGGGCACCCGCCAAGAGTCTACAATGTGATATGCTCATATTTCTTTCCCCCACAAAGGTCTCAAACAGCTTAGATGGGAGGCTGAACGTGATGACTGGCTACACAACAGAGATGTGAAAAGTATCATCAAGAAAAAGAAAAATTTCAAAAAGAGGCCAAAAACCACTCAAAAAATTAAGAAGCAAAGAAAACGAGTGTTTTCTAAGTAAATTATAAATTAAAATTATACTTACTCCTCATTTGCTGTTCAACCATTTTTCTTGATCTTGTACTCTAATTCCATACATTCCAGAATATTCAACGGATTTGTAATAAACTATAAATAAAAATAGTTGTCGTTTATAAAATCATGTAAAAATGTTAATTAAACAATATTGAGAAGAAGCAAACAATTTTTCCTTCTTGCTACTTAGTTCATTTACAAACTGTAGCATCTATACTAATCGTTGTAATGAACCCTATTAAGCATTACTTCGCACCACATACTGTGTTAATCGTTTAATCCTTATAACAATTTATGAGGTGGGCATTATCCCTATGTGACAGAGAAAGAAATAGCACCAAGAAGTTAGCAACCTGAGATTGGTTTTAAGTTTTTAGCTGTTGAGTCCATGACCACTTCTGATATATCTCATTCCAAAGTCTACATTCTTAACCACTGGAAGAATTATGAATCCAGCCCTTAGCTAACTGCTGTTATCTAGATAACACTAGATGAGAATCTTCTCATCTAGTTAAAATAGGGATAAATAGTATTGTGGGAAATTGACATAAAATTAAAAAGTCACTGAGCCCTTAATTAGAAAGAGGTTACTGTTTAATTTACAGTTACTTGAAAAAAGTTGTGTGGTATTATTTTTACTTAAGGAAAAACATACCTTCCAAGATAAAGGGAAATTTCTTGCTCATTGTTTGCCTGAAATCTGATGAAAAAGAAAAAAGTCTTAAATATGATTAGAAATACATTATATTAACACATGGAGCCATAATTTAGTGCTAGCTTTAGTGTATAAAATAGGAATCCCATAGATTAGAAATTTGTGTTAAGGTCCTGGTAATCCAGGAACTAGATCCTTTGGGCCTAAATTGCACTTGCCTTACTTACAGCCTTCCATATTTTGGAGTTTTAAAATTTTTGGCCTGTATACAAGTATATGATATAATTTATTTAGAAATGGTAATTTACAAAGCAAATCTTCAATGTTAATGTGTAATTACATAACTGATTTGTTTTTTATGGATGGAATTTACCTTGTTTTGGAATTAGACATAAGATTGTACTATGCCCAGTTTTTTAAGTTGACCTTTGCTTTTAAATACTATTTGGATGTTCTCTTTTATACCCTTGCTTACAGTTTAAAAGTAGACTGAATATCCAGTGGCATCCTGAAACCCAGTGTTCAGTGAAGTACTTTAAGAAGACAAAACAAGTTTCAAAGATAGCCACCATCCAGGACTACTGTTATTCTCTGCTTGAAGAAAAGCAGCTCTTCCTAATTTAAAACTCTGTGGGCTCCAATATAAAATTTAGCTCCACAAAATATCTAAGCACTTTTGGTGATAGCCAGTGGCATGGGAAACGATTTTAGTGCCCAGTACTAATGCAGAAGAACTCTGCTAGCCTAAAAAACGTTACAATTCAGCTATGCTGTTCAGTCTACCAAACCTCAGTAGGTTCCATTTATGCTCCCAAGCTAAGCCAGACCAAAGAAACTATGTCTCTTACTAGTAAAACCCATGGAAGTGTGAAACATTTTCCCTAGTCTACAAATTAACAATTTTTTAGGAGGAAGAGTCATTTAGTGTACAATAATTAACACCTAGCTTCCACTTGTGCCCATAAAAATGCCTAATGCCAAATCTTAAGAAATTTCTGTAACTACCATTTAGCACCTAAAACACATTAATAAACTGTATAGCCCTCTATAAAATGTTAATTTCTGAATTATTACCTTGGCTTGTGTTCATCTTATTAAACAAACCATATGCTCCAAATATGCCCACCAATTCAGCAACTAAAACGCCTTTAAAGATCTTCCTTGCCAGTGGTTCCATACTACGGGCCATCCTAAGTTTAACAACAAATATATGTAAATGTAACCACATTCAAACAATACCATTTCTATAACAATTCCATTCTGTATAGGAATAAAACCCCAAAGTTACTGTATACTTAATTTGTATTAGACGTCCCTTGTTACTAGTTTTCAATTTCCATGCCTAAGGCACACAATGAACCAAATACATCATTGGATAAGGCACAGAGATGAGAACTGAAGAGGGAATTGTAAAAAGAACTAACAATTTATGGAACTATGATTTTAGAATTTCTAAGAATATAGAATGGGGGGAAACAGGCTAAAGCAGTCTTTTAGCTGAACTGGGAATTAAGATATGATCTAATGGGCACAATATAAAATGTAAAGCAAGTTGTACAAGTTTTATAGCTGGAGGTCTTCACTCATACAACATGGGCCACAGTCCAGGCATTTCATACAAAGCTGAGCAATGAACTAACTGGCTCTTGTTTCTGAGGAGCTACTATTAACAGTATTTTCAAACTAATTGCATCACTCAAGAGCTTGTTAAGGCACATTCCTGGGTCCCTAATCCCCAGATTGACGCAGCAAGTCTAGGGTTGGCACCCCAGTAATCTGCCCTTTAGAGGGCAACTCCAATCGACTGATTACAAGAGGCCCCTGCACCAAATGAAGAAATCTGACCTCCATCACCTAGTAAGTAGTAAGACTAGACTTTAGATCTTATTCTCTTCCTGAATTTAAAAGCTAATTAAAAAAGGGGATTTGAGACTTATTCTTTCTCTAAAGAGCTAAATAAGGAAAAGGGCTATATAACAAGTGAAGAAAATAGCATATATGAATATATGATGTGTAAACCCAAATGTTTGCTTCCTTAGAATCCCAAAGTCCAGAACAGAACCAAGTCTTTAATCTCAGGATTCTGATATGTATGCTCTTGGCCACAACTGTTCTCTGTCCTTTTGTGCAGAGATGGTATGTTCTCTAATAATCTACAGTCCCAGTCTCTCACTGTCAGGGGTTTACTCCATTCACTTTTGACTCCTTTTCACAATGCCTGAGCGTGAGGGTAATTAAATACCTTACCTTTGTAGGATCACCCTACTAATATCATTACCAGGTGTCCCTCCCCCCCCCCAAATTCCCTTCTCTCATTTTGATAATATGATCACACTGGGGACTGAAAGATTAAAACTTTATTATTCTTACCTAAAAGAAATGAAGCAAAAGGAAGTTTAAAAAAAAAAACTTACATAAAACTGTGAGGCAGGTGAGTAGTGGGCAGGGAGAGTTTTACTGTTAACTACCATGCTGTACATTACTAACAGGAAATAAGTCCTGTTCAGTACGGAGAGCTCTCTCGGGGTTATTTTTAATGTTCAAGGGGTGAAAAGAACAACACAAGGCCTGCCTGCAGCCAGATTCTGTGTAAGGAATCCATGGAAAATTTTGTTTTTGTTGGGAGAGGGCGCGGCTAAAGGTTCAAAGTCCAAATAACTGTATAATAAAGCATTTACCTTTCTTAATATATATATGTATATATATATATATACATCTATACACACGTTTTACATTCCAGTCCTGCGGCTGCAGGAGAGGTGTTTATAACGACAGACAAAGCCCATTTGCTAAAGACCATCTAAGGCATAACCGTCCATGACTAAGTTAGGTTACTAACTGGCAAGAGGAAGAACAAGATTGAAGAAGATTTTTGGAGAAGGATGGAACTTAGATGAAGTTTAAAATAAAGCATTCCTCTGATGGGCTCAAAGAAAAGCAGGGCTGAGTGTCACGGAGTTAACATCACACTGAACTGAGACGATAACTCAGGGTGCTGAGCTTAAGATAAACGTTCGATGTTGCGTCCAAAAAAAAAACAAACCCTCATCTGTGAACCAAAGCTGGAAATCAACACGGCTCAAGATTTCAAAGAGCAAGGTCTCTCACAGTCTAGATGTTTAGATGTTGGAGAACAAGGTTTCTCAGCTACGTCCATGTGTTTAATTAATTTGCAAAACCAGTTATTTCCAGGTTCCAACCGTCAAGAGCCAAACAACCAGAACGCGGCCTCAGGCCGGCTACCCACGATCCTCAGCCCCTGGCGGCCCATCGCATCACCGGCGCCCCCTGCTCCCACCATCTCCTCAGCTCCCCAGTTCTCCCGTGCATCTTGAATCCCCACGGCGCTCCACCCAGCCTGCACCTGACATGCCCGGGCAGCGCAGGCAGCACCCACCCCACCGGCCGTGGGGCGAAGGTCGCCGAACGACCCGGAAACACTAGGGCCTGTTCCGCGACCCCTCAGCGGACTGCAAACAGTGACACCCAAGTATCCTCAGCACGACACCAGAACTCTAGCGAGGTCCCCCCAAAAACCTGCCCCACTCCCCACTCTGGGGAGCCCGAGTAAAACAGCCGAACTAGACACGCGAGCGGCTGTCTTACCTGAGTCGCGCACACACGGGAATGCGCATGCGCAACGCTTGACAGAGCCCCGCCCTCCTCAGAGTTGGCCCCGCCCCTCATCGTAATTACCATTTATTGTTCTCTTACTAGGAGCCCATCCAGACTGCGGACTACGCGCTAGTACTACTTTATTTCATTTAATTCTCACAATAACCTTATGCTGTGAATATCTCACTTTACAGAGAAGGAGAAAGGCTCACCCTGCCCACAATCACACAGTGAATGACAGACAAAACTGCCCAGTATACTTAATCCAAAGCCTGTGCCCAATCATTTTTCTACATCCTTCAACCCAAAATATGANAGAAAATTTCAAACATATCCAAAGTAAATAAATGAATGTATGGTGAACCCCTCCATAACCATCACTCAACTTCATGTTATCAACATGTTGCCATTCTTATATCATCTGTAGCCTTATCAGTGACCCACACACACACGTATATATAATTATTACCTTTTACAGTTCAGATCATCACCAGCTCTAATACAGCTTAGCAGAAAGCCCACAACAGGTTTTGTCACAGAACATCATGTTAACATAGTTGATAACCTCCTACGGGTATTTACCCATCTAATTGATCTGATTCTCTGTTTTTCTATTCAGAGCAGACATTTCTTTGCATACCTGGAACCAGCTTCTTTTTGTTCAGAGATAAATTTTTGTTAGAATACACCTTATAAATAATTTATTTTCCAACTAACTTACTTCACAGAGGTCCAGAGGTGTAAAAGGACTTGCCCAAAGTTAACAGAGTTAGAAGCCAGATTCCCTTTTAATCAAGATAAGTCAGAAATTTTTATTCTGATGACAGAAAACTAATATTCTGTAGTTCTCTATTGTTTCTCAATGGTCCTCGGTATTAGTAAAATTGTGGGTAAAACTGTTTACCTTTAGTTCCTATTCCCAGATTGGCAGCTATTGTCATTTTTTTTGAGGTGAAAATGGCAAGTTTAAAGTGATTATTTATTCAGAGAATTCTGAATTTTTGTCTCGAAATTTGGGTCTTGGATACAGTTGGAGGACAATGAGAGAACCCTGTTACTTCACTGTGATGCACTGTTGGCTATGTACTGACTACTTTTCATTGTAGCCGATGAAGTTTCAAGCGTTGGGTCTCCTCCACACAGATTTCCAGAGATTGTCCTTTGCACTGTAGGATCCCTTTGTCTGCCATCCTTACATTTTTGAGACTTTGGAATTGTAGGTCTGCTGTATTTAGAATAACATGAAAGGATTACTTTAATAAATTAAAATGTTTAACTGAATTTTCCTAGTGAACAGTAAGGAGTTCCTTGCAAAAGAAGAAAGCCAAATACCAGTGGATGAACTGTTTTTCTATAGGTAATATACTTAATATAGTTTCATTTGGGGAACTGTTAAAATGTTTAGATTCCATAAATTGCTTTGTTAACATAGGCCTATCTTGAAAAGATTGAAGAATATGTCAGTACCTACTTTGTGAAAATAATTTATAAATCAGTCATTTGTCTAATATTAAGATATCTAAGTAGAACTAAAACAAGTAAATTTGGGGGGGGGTTGTTTTTATAGAGATAAGTCCTAAACCTATTACCATTATTACCAAATGCCTTAAAGTAGTAAAGGCACTGTTACTTCATGTGATTGGTTAATTTGGCTTGATTTGATTTGCTTTTTTAAAACATTTTGTGTGAAGAATTTTGAGGGTATGATCCCATCTGCAAAATTCTGTTTCATTGTACCCTAATATGA